CTGTGAGATTATGACCTGAGCTGAAGTCGGACACTCAACCGACTGAGCCACCCAGGCACCCCTCATTTCAGCGTTTTAACTAGACTTAATTTTAAAAGCGAATTGCTCCTCAGTGCTAAAAACTCTCTCTAGCCTCTGAGTATCTACAAAAGTGCTTGCTGGGCATCACCGGAGAGCACCAATAGTAAAGAGAAGATTGTAGGACCATCTTTGTGCTCTTGCAGCTTTTCTTTGTTTTCATCTTTCTGAGGTACAGGGTCCTGAAGAGGAGAAACTGCTCCCGACTCAGGGCCAAACTCACCTTCCTAGGCCCTCCCTCTGTTTCTACAGCCTGTTTCATCTGCTTAGGGCTGACAATGCAAAGCCGTCCCTTAACTTGTTTTCCAGAATCAGAGGAAAGTTTATAATAACAAAATTTTATAGCTCCTGCCCAGTAACATATATTACTTTTAACAAAATAAAAATACCTTTCCCTTATCATGCATTATTCTTTTACATGTACAATTTTCCTGACGTATTGAAGTAATATTCCACGGTTTGCTGTGACTTGGAGGTTTATGGCCCTTCTGTGGCAGATCAGACTAAACATAATTCATTCATAGCTACTTAGTGCTCAGGGAAATAAACCCCTGAACTTAAATAACTATGGTGTGACCTCTGTAAAATATTATTTATGGTTTTAAAACTACTATTATGTAGATATCAAGATGTGCCAAATGTTATAAACCAAACGTCAGCTGGCAAATGGGCCAACTACTATTTCATTTATTTTTGCTTTCCTTTCTGGATATTTCTCTACAAATTCTATTTTTATTTAAATGGATTCTGGGGTAATTACCTGGCAGAGGAAAGCAGTGTGCATTTACGTTTTATTATAGACTACTACAGTAAGGAAAACATTCTCCTCCATAAAGAAACACCACAAAATGTAAACATTCCATTAACTTACTGCAGTTTAATAGGAAAGACATTGATTACCTCTGAGTATAAAATAACTGTCCCCACTATCAAGGGACAAAGGTGACCCATCTGCTATTCATTTCTGTTTATGGACGAAGACCTGATTCCACATTAAAGTTATCCAAATGGGAAGCCTAAGCGTAGCATGTTCATGCTGCTAAGGACATATGAGTATCCCCAGCACTCCTTGCTTTAAATGTTCAAACGTTGAGGGTGCCATTCTCCACATTTCATTTGTCTCCCCACTTATTTCCTATGTGTTCAACTATATGGTAGGAAATAATACGTTCGGTGGTAGTAAAGTAATGGAATCTTTGGTTTCCTAATCATCATTCAACAAATATTTGAAGACCCAAATGTGCTGGTCACTCAACTTGGCACTGGCAATAGTAAAGATAAAACAGAGGAAAGAAAGTCTCAGCCATCAAAGAGCTAACAGTCTGGATATAGAGATAGATAAGCAAAAAAGCAATTTCTATGCAACATAGTAAGTGCTCTGAGAGAGGAGTAAGCACAGAGGGAAGTGTAGGCTGGGGACAGGGAGTAGAGGAGGCAAGGAAGACTCACAGAGGACATGGTAGAGTCTCAAGGAGTCTCAAGGATGAGTGGGGGGATTTGGGTGTCAGGTGGACAGGCCAGACCAGCCTGGGCAAAGACGTGAGGGTTTGTTGGGTACAGACCTCTTCAGATCATTCAATATGGTTGGAACTTAGTGGGGCCTTAGGAAAAAGGGATACAGATTTAGAATGAGGCCAACTCTGGAGGCCTTGTAGACCCTGCTAAGGAATTTAGACTTCCTACTTTTGGCTGTTCATAGGCATGAGAGATTTTGAGCTGAGGGGAATGGGATGAGATTTATGTTTTGGCTAGCTTGTTGGGGTTGGGATGTGGAGAATAAACCGGAACCCAATTAGTCAGCCCCTCCAACTTCCAGATGAGACATAACAAAGACCTGGGCCAGAGCGGTGACAAAGAGAGACCTGATTGAAAGTGCATTGGGGACACAGAAACAACAGGATCTGATAACCATTTGGATGTAAAAGGAAACAGGGAATAGTCAAGGAAGCAGTTCAGATTTTTGGTTTGGGTAAGAGAGAGCGAGGAGTCCTTTTATGCAACCAGGACTGTTTTTGGAAGAATGGGCCTGGTGAAGAGGCCAAGGAGTTCGTGTTGACTACATGGAGCTTATGCTACCTGTAAGCCACACAGGCGTGTTCCAAAGGTACTTGGAAATGTGAGTTTGGTGAGAAGGCAGGATACCATTCATGTATGTGATACTCGATACTGTTTTTAAAGATTTTTGAAAGTGAGTGTACAAGCTAACTTGCCTCTCTAAGTAAAATTTGAGAAATACCATAATTCAGTTATTTGCAAATTCTGTTAATGTAATATAAGTCTTAACTCCTAAAGTCTTTTGGGAGAAGAGTAAAAAGTATTTTACATTCTATCACTATGAATAGGAATGTTGCCTCTCCCATTTTGGACTCTTTGACACAAATGGGAAATGTCTTTTACTTGTTAAAATCAGAAAAGAATTAAGTTTTCCTTGGAAAATATTTAAGTGGTCCATTTAAATGACTATCATTGCCATATCCAGAAGTTATGCTTTTGAGAACAGCTACTATTAAAGAGTTCTGAAAAAACAACTGAACACAATAGCAAGGACTCTGAGAAAGGAATATATTTCTCCCTCATCAGTCCTGATGACTTTCTAAAAGCTCATGCATTTTGATGGGTAAGATTAATGAGACCACATAGTGTTAAGCACCTTGGACTTTCAGAACAAAGGCCTTTTAGAAGAACAAAGTATCATTATTAATGACACATCATTTACAGTTTTCATCAGTGATGTAAAGTTTCAGCCACTCTAATGGGAACTTAGTTACGAGCTCAATGTAGAGGGCAAGGCTATTAACAAAGGTTCTTGACAGTAATACCTTTGGCTTCTAAGGAAAAAGATAAATCACACTCAAATTGATCAAAAGACAAGCTGAGGGGTTCAGAAGGAGGTGAGCAAATGCTTACTGAATTTCTCAAAGGCCGTGTCATCAATGAGCCCGCTGGTAAGCTCTGCCCTCTGGGATGGGCTCCTTTGGCTGCCAAGCACCCCTATATCCTGGATGCTTTGCTAGCTCAGAAAAATGTCTCAGGCTCTAAACATCAACTTTCCCTTTTATTCCCCCTCTCCTATCTCTCTGCACCAGCAAACAGTCTCTGCTGGGCTTCATCACCTTCAAGATTTTTCTCTGTCCTATGGTGAGGTGTTCAGCCCAGCACATGCCATAAGGAATGCAGAGTGCCGCAGCGACTTAATCTACCTGGTGGCGATCAGAACAGCAGGTGGCAAACTAGTGGGGAAGTGGTGTTTTTTTTTCCTGAATACATGTTGTTAGTCTTGTCAGGGCAATGATGGGGGGTGGCTGTATGCATAAAGTCAATGCTGCTGGCAATTTTTGCAAATTCTATATGCAAAGTACTGCTCTCATGTAAGATCTCTTCAGGAACGTAGTGTGTCAGTGAGATTCATTAAGGCCTTCTTAATGACACTTTAAAGATGACTTTGTTCTTGGGGTGTCTGGGTGGCTCAGTCGGTTAAGCTCTGACTTCAGCTGAGGTCATGATCTTGCTGTTCCAGAGTCTGAGCCCCGCATTGGGCTCTGGGCTGACCACTCAGAGCCTGGAACCTGTTTCAGATTCTGTGTCTTCCTCTCTCTCTCTGCCCCTTCCCCGCTCGTGCTCTCTCTCTCTCTCTCAAAAATAAACATTTAAAATTAAAAATAAAGGGGGGTGGGTTGCGCTCAGTTAAGCGTCAACCTTGGTTCAGGTCATGATCTTACAGTTCATGAGTTCGAGCCCCATGTTGGGCTCTGTGCTGACAGCTAGCTCAGAGTCTGGGGCCTGTTTCAGATTCTGTATCTCCCTCTCTCTCTGACTCTCCCTTGCTCATGCTGTTTGTCTCTCTCTCTCTCTCAGAAATAAATAAAACATTTTTAAAAATTTTTTAAAAAAAGATGACTGTTTTTGTAGAAGGGGGATTAAGAGAAATTTTTCTGGGGAAAAAAATTGAAGTTAAAATTTTTTTAAAATTTGTCATCTAAAATCAGCTATGTTTTAGCTACAGAGGAAAAAAAGCCTGATAAAAATAATGGAAGAGGGAATTTAGTATTATTACACTAAGTGATGACTTATATCCAAGTACATATAAGATAAGGAATTGATTGCCTTGCAGCTCTACCAAAAACTCTCTTTGAGAACTTACTCAAGATTGTTGAGATCTTCACTGACAGGAAGAGACAACAGATTTTTTTTTTAATTTTTTTATGTTTTTATTTACTTTTGAGAGAGAGACTACAAGTGGGAGAAGGGCAGAGAGAGAGAGGGAGACACAGAACCTAAAGAGAGAGACACAGAATCTGAAGCAGGCTCCAGGCTCTGAGCTGTCAGTACAGAGCCCGACGTGGGGCTCAAACTCATGAGCTGTGAGATCATGACCTGACTGAAGTCGGATGCTTAACCAACTGAGCCACCCAGGCTCCCAGAGACAACAGATCTAAAGAGAGGAAGAGAGGGTTGTGGTTATACATTGCAAAGAGGTGTTTGTTACTAACAGAAATCCCAGACTATTATTCTGTCTCTGATTTTTAACAACTGCATAGTCAGTAAGTTGTTTAGTTGACTTGATTCTGGGGATACCTGGAGTCTTTCTTGTTATTGTTTTGGGAGTTCCCACTGACCACGTTTGTTTCTCTTTTGTTTGTGGTTTAATTTACAAGGCAGATCAAAGCACATTTCCAGTCCAGTTGTTAGGACTCACTCTTTTCTGTCTCATTCCAGAAGACACAGCCCTAGCTAGAGGCATTTACTAGACAACATGAAAATTCAAGCGCAGCTAGAACCCTGAGATATCAAACAAAATGCTACAGCACACAAATCATCACAGGAAAACGTTCCACATTTTTGTTTGGAAAGTTTTTGAGGCTTTGGAGTCCAAAATACCCAGTACATAATTGCAATTTAGAAATCTGTGTAAAATGCAGAAATGGAGAAGACTGCTACAATCATATTCTTTAATAAATTTTCATATTATTTTTTAAATTGACCACATTTTACCAAATTCAAGCAACAGTTGAAGATCATCTAATTCGTATTACATGCTGATGTTCATATAAGTTCAAATTGTGTTTTAGGAAGTTAACACTGAAACATTGAGTTTACTCTTTTGAAAGATGATTCTCTTGCTGCAATAAAAACCTGCTAATAACACGTGAACAAAGTGGTTAGTACTGTTTGTGCCTTTAAGATCATAGTTCAAAAGAATTAAGCAAATGTGATAACAAAGGTAAGACAAACATAACCTTTCTTCTCTTTCAAAAACCCCGAGAATAGGGCCTGGAGCCACATTCATTGATTTAATCAGAACACCTTAAGTTTTGAAGTCTCATTAAACATTTTAGAGCAATGGGCTGAATATTGTAAAAATGATAGCAAAATACATGATCGCCCTCAACCATAGTAAGAAAGTGGTAAATTCTCTTCTCCAACGTAAAGAAAGCGAGGCTAGTAAGTTGCTCAATCAAACATTCATAAAAAATTATCTTATATACATAAAATGACCATACTTTCATAGTCTAAAATCGCAATATGAAATCTGACAATAAAATTGTGTCACATTCTGGAACTGGAAAGCCAACACATTAGAATTGCTAAAATATATTTTGGCTTTTGTAAAATAGTGGGACAGAATATTAAATCAAAACTGATCCAGAAGGTCTGAGACAGAGATCAGTGAACATTCCTAGTGTCCATCAATTATTAATTTTCAAAGAACTAGAACAGAGTATAATAAAATTAATGTAAATAATTCAATACAATTCAATATTCTTCGGCTACTAAAATAATACATCAGGGTCTCGTAGTACCTTACAGGCATGAACAAAAACAGTATTAACTGGGAAGTAGCTATAATAGAAAGCAGGCACTGGAGGATTCTGACAGAATACCAAATAATTGTTTACTTTCCAGAAATAAACTGATTAAGATGATATCACTAAGGAGTTTTGGTTTTGCTTTGTTTTACAGTAAAAAGGTGTTTCTTTAAAAAGCAGTCTATAGCTTAGAATAACTTTCCATACATTGGGATAATGTTACAGCAGTCAGACTTTAAAATTATCTTGAAGTTTCAAACAAGTCTTAAGATTCTAGATAATATATAGGACCATATTCCTAAGCATTCCTTTAAAACAATTACTACAAACAAGCATGCTTCACTTGAGAACAGAGATTAAAGTTTTTCTTAGCCTCCAGGGAAAATATATGCATGAAGGAAAACTTTTTTCTCTAAGCATAAAAAATAATTTAGATGAGGAAGAGGACTGAGTCAGGAGCCAAGAGACACAGGTATGACTTTAGGGAAATGATTTTCCCTCTGAGACCCCTTCCATCTATCTGATTCTAAGGTTAAAACATTCACTCCAAGCTGTACAAACTGACCTGGCATTTTCAAGTTTCTACACAGTATATGGCAAAGTGGTTTTGTTCACTTTAAACCTCCAATATTAAGTCAATTGATACAAATCCTGTTTTGCAAATCTGTATGCCAGATTTCTAGAGACAGCAAATTCTTTTTCACTCATCCTCATGGAGTGCTTTCTATATGGAAGGCAGGACGGTGGACAAAACTTGCAACATTATGATAGTCACGGCCCCTGGGAACAAATGACTACCTGAGAAGCTGGACTCACGTGACTGATTCAGGCCCAGCCTCAGACACACGAGGAAACAGGGATTAAATAGCCAGTATTCTATTTGCTCCCTAATTCAGGACGGTGATTCCCAAATATGAGGGAATACAGGAGAAACACAGCTTCAGGAGGCTCACTCCAGGCTGGGGACGGCGCCTCCTAATCTGTCTACATTTCTCACAAACATATTCTCTCCCACCCCTCCACACCTCTGCAAGTTATTTATGGGCTTCACTCTCTCCTCCACCCTCCCCCAAGAAAACCACTGTTGTAGTGGTAAAAGTTAGAGTCAGGAGCCAACGAGTAGCTACGTGACCTTGAATAAGTAATTTAATGTATCTAGGTCTCCGTCTTTTCATCAAATAGAAGTTGAACAGGAATCTCCACCGTCCCTTCCACGCTGAAATGCGACTTTAAGAACATAAGAGGTCAGTCAACTCGGGAAATCGTGAAGATGGGGAGAATTTGCCAAGATGTCTCATTCTACCATCCAAACACCCCAGCAAGTGGGTTTAATATGTCCCTCTGGTCCCCTCATCACAACAGGAGGAAAAGCGAGGAAAGGTTGGAATTGGAATTGGGATTGGAATCGAGGGCGAGAAACCTACGAAACTCGCAAGGGTTTTGGCAAGTAGCCGGAAGGGTACTTTGAGAGCAGGAATCATTCCTCGTCTTCCTCTTCATCGCTCTGGTCCTGGTAGCGAATGTAGACCACCAGCATGACAAAGCCCATGAGGATGCAGAGGGAGCCCACGACCAGGTAGGCGATGCCCAGGAAGGGATTCTTGCCGCCCATCCAGGAGATGTTGCTGAAGACGATGCGCTTGTGGCCGCCGAAGGCTCGCACCGGGTAGTTGTAGGTGATGTTGACGCGGTAGGCGCCGCGCGGCAGTCCGGCGGAGTAGTTGCCCTGGCGGATGCGCGCGTACAGCTTGCGGAATGTGGGCAGCGCCGCGGTGCGCATCCACACCACAAAGTCCTGGTTGATGAAGCCGGTGTTGTTGGGATCGGAGCTCAGCTCGTACACCGGCCGGTGCCAGTTGGGCGGGGGCGCCGTGCCGTGGAAAGCCAGCGCCAGGCTGCCGTTCACCAGAGGCGGGTTGCGGAACTTGACGTGGCAATCGGTCCACCAGGCGATGCCGGTGCGATCGAGCGGCACCTCGACGTAGGGCTCGCCGGGCTGGCGCTGGTGCCACAGCGAGAAGGTGTCGTTGAAGAGGCTGTTGGCGATGGCGCCGCAGGGCGCGATGGGCAGGCCGGTGGCGCTGCGCTGGTAGGGGGCGCACTCGTTGGCCGGGTGGCGCAGCGCGCTGGGCAGCCCGCTCAGCTGCGCGTCGTCGCGGGACACGCCGTAGCGCCGGTTATTTTGGTAGAAGTTGGTCAGCTCGTAGTAGAGGTAGACCGGGCCTGGGAAGAGTTCGGGCAGCGAGAAGTACCAGGAGCACGAGCAGCGAATTGGCGGCGCGCGGCCCTGGTCCTCCAGGGCGCACACGGAGCAGTTGCCGGTGCCCGGGTTGCCGGTGTAGTCGTACTCGAGCTCCTTGATGCCATTGGAGGAGTAGAAGAGACCCAGGCCCAAGCCGATGAAGGCCAGGCCCGCGCAGAAGAAGAGCGGCAGCGCGATGCTGGCCGACAGCAGCGGCTGCCAGGCGGGGAGGCGCTGCTGCGTGAACGCGGTGTTGTCGGGCTGGTGGGCGCCCCGGGCCGTGGCGCTCCAGGTCATGGCGGCCGCGCCGGGACGGACGCGCGGACCGGCCGAGTGCCGCTGGGCGGTGGCCAGCCGGGGGCGCCGCCCCTCCGCGCACGGCTAGCCCGGGGGCTGCTCCCGGCCGAGGTTTCCGCAGGCTTGGGGGAGTGCGGGGGCTGACCCCGCCCCCGGCCTCCGCACAGGTGAGTCGCGGGGTTCTACGCGCGGTGACCCGACCCCTCAGTTCCGCCTCGGCCCAGGTGATCCCGGGCGGCTCCGCCCCTGCCGGTAATCGGCAGCCGCGCCCCGCCTCTTCGGAGGTGAGTCGGGCCGGCGTTTGTCTCCACACCTGGCGGGTCCTAGGCTCGCGTTTCCTCTCCGTTTGGGTGGGTCCTGCCGCCAGCTCCTCCTCGCCGACGTGAGTGGCGGCCCCAGGCTGCCTCTCGGGAGCTCATACCTGGCTCAGGTACCACCTTCGCTTCCGCCTGCCGAGTGACGAGGGCAGTTTTCCCCCAGAGATCATCGGAGCTGCAGCCTCCAGCTCAAAGTCCGAGAGATTGCCTCGTGGCTCTTTGAGACTTGAAGATTTCAGGTTATCAATCCTCTTATGGGCGGGGGGGAAGACTCTAGACTCTCTTGTCTTTGTAGGTTAGCTTATGGACTCCTTTCAGTCAACTTTTTTTTTTTAATGTTTTTTATTTATTTCTAGGAGAGAGAGAGAGAGAGAGAGAGAGACAGCGACAGCGTGAGCAGGGGAGGGTCAGAGAGAAAGGGAGTCACAGACTCTGAAATAGGCTCCAGGCTCCGAGCTGGCAGTCAGCACAGAGCCCGACGCGGGGCGCGAACCCACGAACCGCGAGATCATGACCTAAGCGAAAGTCGGACGCTTAACCGACTAAGCCACCCAGGCGCCCCCCTTTCAGTCAACTTTTAACCACAAATTGTCATGCCGAGAGATTACACTACGACAAATCTGTTATTAATTCAACGCCTGCATTCAAATTCTAGCTTTTTTTTTTTTTTTCCAAAAAGAAGAATGATACTTCCGCCAGGTGCACCAATCTGGCTGCAAAGCTAAGAAAAGTAGAAAGTTCTCTAAAAATAAAGCGACTCTTAAAAAAGAGAATCAAAGACTACAAGAGGTTCCGAGTCTTTAAATATCTATAGCTGGTGAAAAAAACACACAAGGATAAAAATGCAACGGACTACCTGTGATTTCCTTTTCTTTTCAGATTATTCACCTGACTGGAGAAAGGTCTGGTCCGAGGTCCCAAAAGACCTAGCTGCTCTCCACAGCCAAGGACTTGGGAATGTTTGGCCTAAGGAGGTGAACTACAAAGATTTATAGGGCTTATTGTAGAGAGAGAGCCCAAATTAGATCTGGAATATTGCTTGGGATTGTGGCTTTTATGTCTACGGTTGGTACACAAGGGCGTATCAGGCCATTTCAGCTTTGTGCTGAATCCTCCCTGGGTATTGAGGGATTTCTGCCTCTTCTCCAGCTCATAAAATAACTTAAATATTTTCTATATTACACTTTTGCACCTAGAATAATATATTGCATTCAGAAGTTGTTCAAAGCCCACTGAAATTTGGAAAGTTAAAATCCTTGCTAAATTAAACAGGAATTTTTTAAAAGCATCTCCCAAGCGGTCAGCCCTATGGTAAGTACTGTAAAAGACATGAGAGAATTAGACTAAAAAGAACCCTTGACCTCATGGCATTAGCAGTGATAGAGGATATAATACTTCGAAGTAAGAAAGAAACAAAATAGTCAATAGACGGTATATAGCCAAGTATCAAATTGTACAAGAATGAAATTAAAATTAAAAAGTAATTATTATTTTTAAATTTTATTTTTTTAAGTTTATTTATTTTGAGAGAGGGTGTGCGATCAGGGAGGGACAGAGAGGAAGAATTATTTTAATAATGAAAAATTCATTATCTTATTAAGTGGGATGAATGTAGGTTGGAAGATTTAGCTGTTAGAGGCTACTGAAGGAGCCCTTGATGACTCAAATTCCACTTGCCTCATGTCTAATTGTACCCCAAAGAGGAAATTCCAATATTGGCAACACGTTCCTATAGTCTGATCTAGTCTCCACTATACCTTTTCTTCAATAAAAGAACAAACAGTTCTCTGTTATCATTAAGGTTGAGTTCCGCCCACACTTCTATCATCAAAGCATTGGTCATCTTGACAGAGAGTACCCAAAAGTAGGAAAACTAGGGGAAAAAATCAGTCCTCCAAACGTAATCTAGCAGATCTTAAGCCTAACAATTGTCACACCCCTACTCCCCTAAAAGTCCAGCCCTCCTGTTGAGCAGCTCTACCCTCCCTGGATGGAAGTCAGCGGTGTATTCATTCTGCTAATTAAGGTTAACACCAGAGTGTTCTACAGGCCAAGAGAAGAGAATAGTTCAAGACAGGGAATGGTGAACAGGGTGAAACACAGCTGAGGGTTCAAGTGTGATACGAAATGATAAGGAGCCATTGCATGCAACTTCTGTGGGAACAGTTTGGGGTGTTGGGGTTGGAGGAAGAGTCAGGCTCTATCAGATGAGGGAAAGGGAAAGTGGAGACAGCCAAGGTAGAACAACTCTAGAAATGTGGGGAGCAGGCAAGGAGAAAGACAGGTTGTAGTCATTTAGAAGAGTATGTATCTCAAAGGAAAGGTTTTTTGGTAGATGGCAGACACATGCTTATTCTGGGGGAAAAAGATAATGGTTCAGGCAAGGTTGCAGATGGGTGATACTGGATGGTACAAAGATAGGAGCAGGCAGTGGGTCCAGAGAACAGGTGCAGGGTCACCTCACCTCTGAAATTGGAGGACATGGCACAAGGATGGATGCGTAATGCGACTGGGCTTTGGGCTCAGCTCAAGAGAAGAAAGCTTTCATTGAATAATTTCTTCCAGGCAGTAAAATGCAAAGTCATCTCCAAAGAGAAGAGAGAGGAGAGGGAGAGGGGACTGCCCAGGAGCGTGTTGAGTGGCTTTGCCTGGGGGAGTCCTGCCACCCAGGCTGAGAAAAGGCAAGTGATTGAACATGTCCAGTGGATGGGGTTTTTCAAGGCAGGTGAATTGAAAAGATAAAGGCTCAAGATAGGTGCTGTTCTTGTGACAGAGGGGGCTAAAGTGATATGCCTTATTAAGCTGAGTGGCAGGGAAAATGAAACCAAACTGGTGCATCTAAAGGAAACAGAGACCAGAGACTGGCAGTCCTAATGATCGTGGAGCAGGTGGCATGAAAGCTGGGAGAGAAAAAGTGCTGGTATAAGATGGGGCGTTAAAGATTTTGGAAGTGGAGTAGTGCTGAGATCTATGTGTGTGTCCCATTTCCTCCACCGTCTTGGAAGTTCCAAGAGGTCAAGGATTGATATACGTCATTGTGCCCCTCGAAATTCATTGTATAATGAAGGTTCTGATCTTGTGTCTTTCATTTGATTATACACATTGTCGTGGTGCATAAAGGACACTTTGGATCCCGTAAACTCTTCTCAGTACCAACAAAGTGAAGAAACGAGCTCATTCTAAACAATTCTTTATTGCATCTCTTTATTATGAAGAGAATTCAACATGAAAGAAAAAGTCATTTGCAATCACAATACTCCCCAAATTACTTCATTTTCTATTTTATCCATAGAAATATTAAATTTCTAAGTGGTAGAATATTATAAAGATACAATTATCATTCTGCTTGTTAAGTTACCTTCTTTTGGAATAAGTAATAAAATAAATATTTTCCATGTTTCTTTGTAGTCTTCATACATTTTTAAATGGTCCCCAAATTCATGGGTCTACCACATTAAATCCTCTTGTATTGCGGGGCAAATAGATTATTTCCCGTTTTTCAGTATTCCGAAGAATATCATAGTGGACATCTTTCTGCATATAACCTTTCTTTTAAGCTCTTTCCTTAGGATAAATTTCTAAAAGTAGGAAAGGGGCTTAAAAGTCAAACTATTTAAAGATACATACTCCTAGAATCTCTGACACAGCCATAGGAATGTGAACTTTGCCACGTTCACCAAAATTTTGCCAACAAAACCAATTGTTAACCACAGAATATGCTAAAGGGGAAGCAGTATAGGATAGTGGAAAGAATGCTGCTTGACTCTAAGGAAGTCCAAGTTCTACTCTAGAGTTCCTCAGGAATAAATGACCTTGTCGGATTGCTTAACTACCCTGGTTTCCTGATTGCTTATCTGCATGAGTGTGTTTGCCAAAATGGTAGTGAATATCTCATTCTTCTTCTTTTTTTTTTTTTAAGTGGGCTTCACTCCCAGTGAGGAGCCCAATGTGGGGCTTGAACTCAGGGCCCTGAGATCAAGACCTGAGCTGAGAACAGGAGTCAGAAGCTTAACCGAATGAGTGACCCAAGTGCCCCACTATCTCTTTCAATGCAAAGATTTCTGTTCTTAGTTATCTCGAGAGGTTTTCTTTATACCAACTCATTGAATAGTTAGCATTTATTGAGTACTTACTGTAGGCCACTCTATAAGTGCTTTATATACATTATCTCATCTAATCCGCAACACAAACTTATATGGGAAGTACTATTATTAAACTTAGTGAGCTGATGCAAAACTAAGATTTAGGCTAAGGAAATGGAGGCTGACCAAATTCTCATGGAGGTCAATGGGAGATCAGGAAGTTGAAGGCCAGCTTAATTCTTACATCCTGCATTTTCAACCACTACATTATAATGCCTGGGCATACTTCCTCCCAAAAGAACCCAAAACACTTTAACCTTGAGCCAGTTTTTAGTATTGCACATCTTATACTCCAAAGATAAGAGAATTACATGCCACTCATGGAGAATCCCAGAACATATGAGTTGGCTTATTTTTGTTTAACAAAAGCTATTATTTTTGAAGCCAACTTTTGTTTAGCATGCCTATTTCTCTTACTAAAGTAAAAATAGCTTCACTGGTCTGGCTATATTCAGTTTTTGCGTTTATTTCATTTAATTCATGACTATATATCTTACTGTAATAGAGCCAGGGTTTTTAATTGGCATTCCCTTACGTAAGTTTATACTACTCAGGATTGTTGCCTATTATTCTGCCCATGGGGCAGCTTTTATTTAAAAGGAATCAAATTAAATTGCTTCATAAAATTACAGCATGTGTTCA